AAGTGCAAAGAGGGAGAGGGAAGAGAGATGTGACAAAGGAGGGAGATAAGATGTAAATGGTTTTCTTTATTGCCAATGCTGTTCAGGGCCAGACAGACGGTTTTAATTCCCGGTGGCTGAAGATGGAAAAAGCTCAGATCAACAAGTAGCTAGCTAAATTTTAAAGTGAACCAAACATTTCTTTCCACCAAGAAATGGCACCATACAAAATATGATAACTATATTAGGGATTAGTTAACAATAATATTTACACTTCCACAGATGATCAATACGTGTAATTATAGTGTGCAAGTTGGAGCATAACTCCTCTCTGTTCAGATCTTTGTGTGGTTTAAAGTTTTTTTTATAGCTCCAGAGCCTTTTATTGCTGCTTTTATGCTTTGAGGAGGGAGAAAAGAAAACAGCAAACACTTTGACCTACATCTGAGGGACCACACACTGTTGCACACACTGTACTTTTCAGCAAAATGAAGCAGGAGAGTGTAGTTAAAAAAAAAAAAAAAAAAGGCATTTGACCACCCATGCAGTACAAAGAAAGAGACTGGTGGTCAAAAACAGACATAATTATCTTCCAGAAAAGAGTGGACAGACACAGGAGACACACACACCTCGTGAGAAGAAGGCACTGATCATGAAGCTGAAGTTGATGGTGGCCACAGTGAAGAGGAGCAGGAAGATAAAGACCAGCGTGGGGTCACTGTAGGTCAGCACTGCTCCGTTAGGGCTCACCTGAAACAACACATTCAGTTCCAGTGCCCAGTTATGTCTTGCTGAAGCATGTACAACTCTGTACAAAAAAATCCTGCACCTAATGTTTCAATCATCATTTCTCAATAACTACACTGCTTGAAACAAATATATGATTATCATGAACTGGCCAATATGATAAAATAGGAGTGTTACTTCATATCTGAAGATTTGGTTTAAGACAATTTTCTCGTTCCCTCTTTTTCACTTGGTTTTAGCTTTTTCAAAACCAGCCCAGCCTCTCAGGATATATTGTATGAAATATTGCTACTGCTTGGTTGAACATTTGTGCAAGTACATATTGCACATACTGTACTATTGATAATAATATTGTATTAGCTTTTCCTTGCTTAAACATGTTGCAAAGGTAATAAGTGTTGGAATGTGGATTAAGTAATGATACACAATGATGTGTAACACAAACTCACCTGGATACAGAGCAGCAGAGTAACAAAAAAGACTGAAATGGAGAGGAAGAGGAAGAACATGAGGAACCAGGCGCTCCAGTGGAGCCAATTGCTGAGACCCATCATCCTCATGTACTCCTAAGAAAAGGCAGAGGTAAAGGATCAGTCTGACAGTTTTATTACCTATTTAAAGCAACAGAATAAGAGCCTGTTTAGAGACACACAAACACACCTTGAGCTTCCTTTCCTTTTCCTGCACCACGGCTCGTACTATGTTGAGGGAAGTGTAAGTGAAGCTGAGCACCAGAACTAGGGGCAGTTGGTTCTGAATGGCCAGGATGAAGACATCATATATAAAGGGAGGATAAGGAAACCGTGACAGGACCACTCTGATCTGTCGCAGCAGGGAGGCAGCAGCTGTTCTGTTGTGAGAGTGCATGATGGCTCGGTCCACTGCATGCTGCACCGCCAGAAAGCCCTCTCGGTAATAACCTTAAAATCGAAAATAAATATTAATAATGAAGAAAATATATTAATGCCACCATTGTATCTGGGTTAATTAATCTTAATTAATGAGTTAATCTGGGTCCAAGGATTTTCTCATGGCGCAACCACGCTTTCAAAGTGACTGGTTCTGAAAGGCAAAGTCCTAGCTTCTCTGCAGAAGTTAACATGAAAATGGGCAAAAGGCCATGAGGAACAAAAGTGAGTTATTATGCATATGGAGGTTGGAAATCCATATTCATGAGATTCTGAAAGCTTGTCAGCGTAAATTATGCTGTTAGGATGACTTCATCTTTTGGAGTATGCCTCTTCATCCCATTATAGTAACATTCAACTGTGGAACTTCATTATGAAAAAAGGTCTGGGCCTGATGAGGTGACAGCAGAACAGTGTCTCCTCCAACCCTCAATTCACCTTAATCAAATCATTTAAACCCAACAAATCAAACAACCTGAGGGACAAATGTGAAGATTACGTTAAGAGCATCTGATGCCTCCTGAACGGTGCCCGACACCTAACAAATGTCCCAACGATGCAAGGGCGCACTGTATCCTGATAGTGCCAAAAGTGGATAAAACCAATCGTGCCGAAGATGTGCAGAGACATGGTTGCCATGGAAACACAGCCTGAAGAGAGCTTGCTATAGAAATTAAGAGCCTTTTCATCAACAATAATCCCTAAGTAAAGACCTATTTGGCATTGTTTTGTGGAGGGACTGATGCTTATTTGAATCACGCCTCAAAGAAATGTGAGGTTTTTAAAAATATTCAATTTGGTAGGTTTCAGGTATCATCAAAGCAGACACGATGGTTTGCCTTACAAGACAAAAAAGGAGAAAGAAAAGGAAGAAAGATAAAGTGAGAGACACAGATAAAGAGAAACGAAGACAAGGAAGGTCTAACAGAAGGAGATGGGGAAGGGGGGGCGGTCTCACCTGGAGTGCCCCCCTCCTTGTCATACTGCTCTCTTGGCCCTGGCAGTTGAAAAAGGGGATAGAGACTGAGCGTGTGCCAGTCCAGGTCACTGTTCGGGTTCAGCTCCAACTTCTCCTTGGGTGGGGCGTTGCGCGGGGTGAAGGAGAATCGCAGGTGGTAGCTCACCTGTGTGCATGAGAGCAAAAAGAGAATAGTAAACATGCCCTCAACACACTGCTCTTAACTTCAGTTGCTCTTCATGAATACTGCTGAATTGAGTAGTTTGTAGTATAACTCAGCAGCTGTACCTTGCAGTTGTAAGCGGGGCTCAATGGAAAGACTGTGGAGTAGTTCAGCTTATTTTTTAAAAATTTTAAATTTCATTTGCTCAAAAGGAATATATATCCATGTGTTTGGGTTTTAAAAAAGGCATGACACCCAAACAGAATTACAAATTAGTGTGATGCTGGTCTTTAGTAAATTTACTGTCACAGTTACAACTGCATCTCACAAGCCGGATGTGGCATCTACACATGTATTTTAGGTGGTTTTGAGGAAGAAGCACTTGAGCTCACCTGTGTGCATGAGAGCAAAAAGAGAACAGAGTTAGGAGACTCCAACAAAGATGAGAGGAGAGGAGAAGTGTGAGTTTAAGACACATCAGGTCTCGCAATCATCTTGGCTTCGTGCCTCTCACTTAGTCAGTTTTTTTGTAGAGTGAATAAATCAACTAAGCAATAAATAAGCCAACACTATGCAGTGAATGAAAAGAATTAGAGTGTGTTTTTGGAAAAACAAATACATCATTGTCCATTTTAAGCAATCCATATTAAATATCATAGGCCTCTTTTGATTCTGTTCACAGTTGATCCATGTACAGTATATACCACAATATATGTTCCTGTTATTTAGACAAAACCTCCAGTATTTTCATTTGTGTATTAATGTTCCTTTGTTTATTGTTTTCCATTGTTCAAAGTAAAAATTCATACACAATCCAGTTAGAGTTCATGAAAAGATAAGCTGAAAAGATGAGCACAACAAAAACAATAAGACAGGAACAATAGGATAAACAATTAAATAGGAGAGTTTACATAATTTCTCTGTTGTTTATGTACATCCAAATTTACTAGACGTGTATAACTGTTACTGTTTTGAACTACACAGAAGGCTGATGGAATGATTGATATGATATTGGTGTGGTGGAAGACTTTGGACACCTGTATTCTAACACGTCATGTGCCAAAAAGGCTGAGAAAGACTGATCTATAGGACTGAGACAAGCAGAGGGAAGAAATAAAAACATAAAAAGCTGGAATAAAGATTTGTTTTTGTATTACGCTTTGTTTTATCACCATTTGTGTATCCATGTTGTCTAGCTGTATGCAATCCCTCAGCTTCAGCTCAACAAGGGCGATAAAGCTGAATTGAACCGATATGAAAGCAACAGAGGAAGCGAGGCACACAGGATGAGACCGACTATAAATATGGGAGGATGATTCACCCTTAAATGTGGGAGTACCTCTGTCTCCCCGGTGCTGCTGTGAGCTTTCGCTGTCTGTAGCCTTCAATCCTATTAAGTCTGTCAGATTTTTCCATCACACCGAGATAAAGCTTTTCCCATATGGGATCACACTGCATGAACCTGTGAATTCATCTATCCTCTGTCAGGGTTTCTTGACACACAGGAGGATAGGTTTCAATTCTACTTTTATTCTACTTCACATTCATTCAGTGCAGACAACAATCTGATAGTTATAATTATGTCGCATAGTTAGCATGCACTGCTGTGCTTTGAAATAAACCTGACGTAGCTTCTGTCTTTAAGTTGTGTGTGTGTGTGTGTGTGTGTGTGTGTCCTGCCTGTTACCTTTAGGGGCAGAGGTTCATCATCATGGCTGAAAGGGTGCTCAAACACCACAGCAGCCAACAGTTTTCCTGAAAGAGGGTCATTTCTCACATATTCCTCAAACTGCTCCTCTGTTTCAAAACCACGCACTGGAAAGAAACACACACACACACAGATGGAAAAAAAAATAAATTGTTATATGGTATTTATCTCACGTATGTCTGTTTTCAATCGCATCTCATTGCATGACCTTGGTGCACTGTTCTCACCAACAGCCAGGGAGTCGGTCAAGACGCAGTCAGCATACTGAATTCTATGGCCAATATTATCAATACAACAGGTCAAATGTTGAAGAGAAAAGTGCTCTAGAATATGCCCACATACATGCTTTCTTTGACACAGATGCTAGATCACACAAAAAGGGAAGAGATACCACTAAAGTGAAGAAGACATCATAACATCACCAATACCATGAACAGCTTGAAAAGTCCCTGAACAGTCCAAACAAGACTGAATGAAAACAGAGAGCAGGACAATAAAAGATAAAAACCGATTTGATATCCTTTTCACTTTCCCTTTTCACAATGTCTTTATTTTACAGAACTGGATTTCTCAATGGCATTTTTTCTATTCCACTTATCAAGCAAACATGAAGGTATTCTGAGTTTAGCAAAGCACGGCAGTGTTACACATTGGTCTCAGGGTTAAATCTAGGTCAGTCTCATAAAATAAACACTTGCATGGAGACACATAAGGTGCTCAGAGGGAAACAGGTCAAGAACAAACAGCAGTCAAACACACCAATTCAAACATGCCCTCAACACACTGCTCTTAACTTCAGTTGCTCTTCATGAATACTGCTGAATTGAGTAGTTTGTAGTATAACTCAGCAGCTGTACCTTGCAGTTTTAAGCAGGGCTCAATGGAAAGACTGTGGAGTAGTTCAGCTTATTTTTTAAAAATTTTAAATTTCATTTGCTCAAAAGGAATATATATCCATGTGTTTGGGTTTTGAAAAAGGCATGACACCCAAACAGAATTACAAATTAGTGTGATGCTGGTCTTTAGTAAATTTACTGTCACAGTTACAACTGCATCTCACAAGCCGGATGTGGCATCTACACATGTATTTTAGGTGGTTTTGAGGAAGGAGCACTTGAGCTCACCTGAACAAAATTTTTGGGAACCACTAGTTTAACTGATAAGAGTTTGATCATTTATGAATAAAAATTGACTGGTTAAAGCTCTTCAAAACTGAGGTCAAACTAATTTCATTTTCAGACTTTCTCGTTAAGGTCTAGTGACCTATGATGGGAATTTGTACATCTTTTTTATATAATAATATAATATTTAAAAAAAATAGATATATGGACAATGAAAAAATGTTAGCTGCAGCCGTATTCATGATGGTACAAGAAACCTCAACAAGAGATGTCAATCCACCTTTTTAACATCAAAAATTAGACATTACACAATACAGGATCTCATTTCACAATTCACTATTTCACAATACACCATGAAAACATTAACAAACCATTTCAATACCTAATATTTTTACAACAACAACAACAAAAAACTGTTCCCTTTTTCAGTGCTCCCACTTCAATAATTATTTCACTATTGCAAAACTATGTAAAACTCCGGCATTTGAAACATCATAGGCCTGTTTTAACTATCGTAATGTATTCTAGAGAAGCCCTTATTTTAGTCAGACAACTGTGGACATATTTTAGTGGTCCTCTGTGTGTGCAAACTAAAACTCAGCCTTAATTCCATTCCACCTTTCCCTCTGAAGGCTGAGACCAGCTAAATTATTCATTAATGGCTGAGCTGGGATCTCACACAGCTATGTATGGGACAACCTGCAGTCACGCAGATCCATCCACCAGCTGCCTAATATCAGTCTACTTCACCTCACACTGCACCTATATATATCCATCTTTCTCGTTGTCTGACAATGTGGCAAGAAATATGTAAACAGCCAGTTTGCACAACTGTCAGTCAGACCGTCTGCATTTATTTATCTGGGCAGCTGGTCATGCAGAGAAGGTGTGTGTGATTCTGTCAATTAGAGAGAGAGATGGAGTGTAGGTGTCACTGAGGGAGGAGAGGAACATGCTACAGTATGTGAGCTTCCTGTCTTTCCCTGTCTAAACCATCTGATACAGTCTGACACAAGAGAAGGGTGTGTATACTTGCTCTCCTGAGGATTGTTTCTAGAGGAACCAGTATTCCCAGGTCTGCCCTGAATTACAAGCGGTGTTAAGGCTGAGGTGTTTGTTTCACTGCTTATAATGGTGGTCCTAACAGCTCGAGTTGGTTATGCAACACTTAGGTTTTGCTGCAACAGAACCATGAATTTTTTTAAAGCAACAATTCAATATTTGACTGTTTTCTGAAATGTTTGCAGAACATGATGTGACACTTCCTCTCAATAATAACCAGCAAACTGACAGTAAACTCTATCGACAGTAAACGCAATTGGTGATAAACTATTTTATACGTGTGACTATTTAAATGTTGTTATGGTTTACTACTCTATAATACCTTTCTGATCTCTAAGGCTGTTGATATTATTGTTCAAAAATATGTATATTGAACCAACAGAAGCAAATCATTGCCTTTGAAGGATCAATACTGTTACACTTTACAGTTCCGCATTACTTTAGAATTTAGGGAATAAAACTGACATTGAATTTCAAACATTTTCATTTAGTGTTACATTCAGAGAATTGTCATATTAAAGGAATAGTTTGACATTTTTACATTATTTGCTTTAATGCTGAAAGTTAGAAGAGAAGATCAATATCACTCCCATGACTTATCCTGTAAATATAAGGCTACAGCCTGTTGGCTTATCTTAGCATAAAGACAGGGGGAAATAGTCCAGCAAATAACCCCACACAAAACCACAACTTTTCATTTCTACATTTCAGTTTTTGAACAGATTAAAGGAACAAGATATAACGTGTTCATTTGTGAGCCTTAGATGTGTCATTAGGCAGACTTTGATATCTTTGGATGACGCCAGGCTAGCTGTTGCCCAGCTTCCAGTCTTTATGCAAGCCTAGGCTAACAGGCTTCCGGCTGTGGCTTTATGTTTACCACACAGATATGAGAGAGGTATTGATCTGCTCGTTTCACTCTCAACAGGAAAACAAAAACATCAAACTATCCCTTTAACAAAACATACAGTGAAACACTTGACAGTTCAAAGTATGTTATTGGCAATCTGCCACTGACTAATCTTTGGTGCCAGTCAGTGTCAGCTGTTGACTGGTCAATGGAAGATACAAATTATTTTATGCAACAGATGCCCTGCTTTTCAAAGATTGGTATGTGGACTGACAGCTAACAGCATTTTACTGAACCTGCAACCCACTTCCTGCCAAACTATCACCCACCTGAGGAGAGGGACAGGCTGCCTCGCACATCCTCTGCCACCTGACGCACAACACTGGAGTTACCGGGCACATAGGCCAGCTGTAAGTGCTGCAAGAACCTCTTCGGTAGTATGTCGACAGCGTAGCTCTCATAGATCGTGGCATTCGGGTAGTCCTTAAAAGGCACCTTCTGACGCAGCACGATGAGGATGCATGAGAAGAGCAAGGGCAGGAGTATCTCCACCAGTGTTACCAGGATCTGACGTTTCTGGAGCGCAGAAATAAGAGAGATTATCAGTCATCCGTTTGGTGGGGATGTATAAAGTGAGAATAAAAATGGTAAAAGGCAAAACACGGTGATATGTCAAAAGTAAACATGTTCTCTGAAAGTGCTAACTACAAATAAATTCATGCAAGGTGGAGACTGGGCATCAATATATTCTTTTCACACTCTTCAGAATTAAACCTAGACAATTTCACAGAGAGTTTAATTGAAGCATAATTTATATGACAACTTCTTCCTGTTGAATGATGGGACTACAAAGTGATTTGGACAGTTTCAGGACATTACACAGTCAATCTCAGAGAGAGAGAGACCTTCCACTTTCAGCACTAAATCAGTTATTACTTAGAGGAATATATAAAACCCAAGAACGTACACGTTCCCTGCTTGTGCACATTGATAATAAAAAGTGTTTTAAGGAATAAATATATTTCATATTATAGTATACACATTTGAGCAATACTGTTTTTATGCAAGGTTTCCTCTTTAACCTTTTCAGTTACTGACCAAATTATGTGCGTAGCACTCCATGTCAAAACCTGTGAAGTTGGTTATGAATGCATGGTCAGTATACTTTACTTCATCATGTATTAACTGATTTGAATAACAGTGTTGTTAGATTAATGCTTTATTTAATGCAGACAATGTAGTTGAAGCTTTTGAATAGCTGTTTGAGTTCAACCAACACTGATCACTGATGTATTTAAGAGTTTTTTTTTCCAATTTTTACATAGTAAAAACGAATGTGTGTGTGTGTGTGTGTGTGTGTGTGTGTGTGTGTGTGTGTGTGTGTGTGTGTGTGTGTGTGCGTGTGCGTGTGTGTGTGTTTTGTTGCAGACTTGATATCCAGGAGACTAAGGGCAGTCATGGTGCTGCGGGTGCCAGTGGGACAGTGTCCATGTGGACTCTGACATACAGGTAATGGTGCACTGGCACGTAAATACAAAACTTGAATGAGGAACAAAATAACACTGGGGTAATTGTCTCAAGTATAAACAGCCAAGAAATCATTAATCTCATCAGTTTCTTGGACGTGGCTGCTTTTATTGAGGAAACAGGTTTAAAATAGATCATGTATGAATTCCAGTGATAGGCTCTTATTTTGGGGGTGGGTAATATACAATATAGTTACTTTTATTAATTCACACGCATTCTTTTTTCTCATGTTAGGCTAAATGTTGCAGAACAAAGAACAAGCTCAATGATACCATTCATAAGTAGAGTAGCTGTAGATGAGCTGGAAATATGTCAAAGTCAAAGTTTTCTAAATGTGGCAGGACACCACCAGAAAACAAGATAGCCCGGGAAGATAAGGTCTTTGCCAGTCTTTGCTTTATAAACAATCATTTACAATGTTCACAATTTCCTTGTGAGGTAAAATATGATGACCCATTATATTTTTTAATACAGATTATGCGATTATGTACTCTGTGTCTGTGCTCTGCAGCCTATGTTTCTTTCCTGCCTGGACCTAATGGAGTCTGTAGTCTCTAGATAACCACAACAGGAGCAGCAGTGGGTGGACAAAGAGTGATGGAGCAACAGCCTCACACCAGCATGCTATGCAGCAAATGGCCAATTCCATTTCTGAATAGTTGCAGCATTGTGAAACCATTAACTGATATTAATACTATGCAGGCAGCCATTCAGAGCAATGCACAGCCAGAAATGTGCCAATATGCTATGCTAGTGGAAATCAGACACTTTTTAGTGTAACATTTTTTTTCCTATCTTCTGTAAACTGAGGACAGAGTCTGAGTCTGATGATATTATGTTCCATGAAATACATATCTTATGCAAGCAGCAAGTAATCTGTTACTGCAGGACACCTGGTCTAACTTGGAGATTTGAGATGTGATCTGGTGTGTGTAACCTGCCTAACATGTTAGCCAACAAATGAAAAGCTAAACACACAATATAGACACATGAATCTATAGTTGCGCAATAGAAAAATCTGTTTGTTATGATGATACCTGTCTCATGATCAAGTCTCATGATATACAGTATGTCGCAACAAAATTTAAAGCAACCGAATTTCTGAAGTTATAAATACTGATTTCCAGAAAAGACAGCCATATAAGGCTAGGAAAAGCATGTGACAGCCACCACTGCAATGACCAAGCTAGAGTCTGTGATACAACAACAAAGTGCAGGCACACAGTCAAACAGTCTCCAAGTGGCTGGATAACATCATAAAGTTGTAGAAAAACAAAGTGTTAATCAGTTTACTGTATCTATGATGTCACATGAGCTAATAACTAAATAAACACTGCAATAAGGGCCTCTGCTCTGCAAACACAGCTATGCCTGATAATTCACAGTTGCAAACAATGTCACCACCCAATAAAGACATATACAGGCTGAGTGTAGGGTCACCTTCTTGAAACTTACCTGCTGAAGATAGTTTTTCCACACCAACAGCCCAAATTGTCTCATGATAGCCATTTTGATCAGTACACAGGACACAGTCCAGTCAGCCTTCTACAGTGGCTGGAGACAGAACGAGAATGACATTTTCAGTTTCAGGTAAAGCCCCTAATATACATCCTTTGCAATGTTTATGAAGGTTTCTTAAATGTTAGTGTTGAGTTTTCGAAAAAAAAAAAAGCTCTGACCAACTGCGCTGGTTGTAAAGGTTTCTGATCTCAGTTTCCATTTAACAAAAATAAACATCAAGAAAGCAAAAGAGAAAAAAAGAGAAGTGATATTGAGCAATCAGCAGCATCACAATTAGAAAAATGTTCCAGTTATTTTCAAAACCAGAGACAGAAGAGATGTCTAACAACTACCATAAAAACAAAGAGGTGATATCAACCTGGAAATGAGTTCAGATAGAAAAAAGGAAACAAAGGCAAATTAGCCAAAGATAAAAACAGGCCTTTGACATCTTCATGCTGAACCAGTTCGACAAGCAAAAGGATATTATCTTTTTAGTTGAAACAGGGCTATATGATGGTCACAGAGAAAAACAAAGAACTATTTACAACAGCTAATAAACACATGCTGACAGAATATTGAACTTTTGCTAATACTGATAGTCACATAGATACAGAGCACAGAGGGCAATCAATGCATAGAAACTTTTAAAGCTACAGCAACCAGATTTACCTCATGGGAGAGTCATAGCACCAACACTTCGGCCTCAGTGGACTGTTTCACAGAAAAGCACACAGGTTCATGAATGCAACGAAACTGGTTATGTTGAGTCTGTCTTAATTTCACACTAGCGTCATTCATCTCTAAGTGGCTACGTCCCGTTCATGATATATCAGGGGTCATTTTATGTTAATATTATCAGTGTAATTGAATTCAAAAGGCCACTGGCTACATATTTAAAGCCACCACTTCTCTATTAGCCCGTTGTTGCAAACAAAATACATTAAAAAATATGCCGTAATAGACGTGAATGTTTTCCTTATAAACTCGAACCCGCCTTTCTCATCTTTAATTGGGCCAACGCAGGCTTCTGGCCCTCCTGATTGGACAATCAATCTGCTCGTCAATCCCTATGGATTCTGATGAATGCTAATAATGGAGCTGCAGGACAAAGCTAGGTTTTTTTTCCCGAAATATAATATGCTGACTCACAGTCTAATCTTCAAATGTCTTCAACGAAGCGACCCAATAATGTTTTGTCACATAACTATGTCAAATTACCTCAAAAAAGCTGTTTTCGGCACATGAATTTCACAAGCTGCGATCCCTTTTTCCTGTCGAGGTGAAAACAGTTCCTCCTTTTTGTCTTAAACCGATAAGAAAACCATCACTGCGGGGCTTCTTCCTTTACCAACACCACCGATGCTCAGCTAGGCATTAGTCAAGGCAAGGACGTCTGTAGCCCGGTCCTGGTTTTTCTCCTACAGTCCAGTTTGGTGCCTGCTAGCGAGATGACATTGCACCAGCTGCGGGATAAGCCCGTGAATTCATCGCAAAATGTAGGGACAACCGTCAACAAACACGTCACGTGATCTCACTGGAACTAGAGTGTCACGTGATCTCAACACCTGGACGTTATGACCACATGTACATGAAAACTACAATATATATTGCATTATTTACACGTTGTGCCTCATATTTATTTATTATTTTAACGTATTTATTTATTATTGTAATTTCTACTAGTAGTATTGTGGTCCTTGTAGATTGTTCACTTTTTTATTTTTGCTCTCATGAATATTTACCTTTTTTCTACGTTGAAGTAACAGGTTAACGCTTGAAAATGCTCCCTTTCTACACTACTTAGGTTATTCATCGAATGAGTACTCTTGTGACTTAACTGACTGACGCTTCAAATTGGCTGGGTCCTACAATCCCCATAATGCATCCCAGTAGTGCAGTGGTGGAATGTAACTGTACATTTACTCAAGTACTGTACCTAAGTACAAGTTTTACTTCCTCTACCACTGAAACAGAACACCAACATCTTTCAAATTCCACAGCTCCAGTTTGTAACAAAGCCTTTCTGTTTTAAATTAATTACTAAACTGTAATAAATTTGAAGTCTCACTACTCTTGCATATATTTAAGGCCTATTTTACTACTTTTAGACAAAGTGCTTGTCAACCAGGATTCAGTATAAATTCTGTAGGAAAAAAAGAGTCCTAGTTTTTCAAAGTCTAAATGCTGTTTTAAAGCCCTTTCCACACTGCAAGGAGAGAGATAAAAAAAAATAATGAAATAAGTTCATGAGATTCTTATCTCTAAACTCAGTCTTGCTTGAAACTAACCAGGGAATAATTTGGTGTAAATCTATTACAAATTAAACTCCATGTGAGTGGTGGCATGAAAAGTAACATCACAAGGAAATGTGCATGATGGCTTGTTTTATTTGAACTCAATACAAAAATTACATATTCACATCACATGTCTAATGAGGAAACACTGTACTGTATAAAAACAGACATTTCACAACAAACACTGCCTTTTTGGAATGAAGCAAATACAATTTCAAGTAGTAGTGGCATGTTCTTTTTCTTTTTTCCATTTATACATATAGTACTATGTACATTTATAAAACACAGGCGATAACCAGTCTGAAGTAACAGTTTAAAAATGTATTTACAGTCAGTCACAAGCATTTAGATATTGTATACTCTGTGTCCTGGAGTAGGAATAAAGTACTTTCAAAATCCCATCAAGTAATAATTTTCCTTTAGTGTCTGAGCTTCCACTTCTCTCCAAGGAGGCAAAACAAATCCATTCAAAAATACTTTAGTATTGATTGTTCAAGCATAAAAATGGTCACATTTCATTGAATTGTGCTCCTCCTGTGACGATAAAAGTGCTAGACCTAATTCAGATGGGAAGAAAACTGGGTACAACTTGTCAGCATGTTAAGAATTTCCTGTTGCATCAGGTGGCTCATTGCTTCTGAGCTCATAATTTAATGAGTGTGAAGCACCAAACACTTGGATGATAAAGCTGAGGTTGGTACAATAGTCAACCTGCTGGTGATTCTTGACTAGTCCCATTAGAAGCACACCTTACTGAAAATAGTGTCAATATCTCAACAGGTAACATCTTAATATCCAGCTGGTGTTCCTGATGGGATTAGAATACTTAACAGCACAAGTGGTGTATATGTACAAGACTGCAGAAGATGCAGACTACTAAAAGACTCATTTCACAGCTCTGTTTCTTTTGAAGTAGATGCCCTGAAAACACAAATGACACCACAGTACCTTTGGCAAACACATGTAGAACTTAGGACAAAACTGAACAAGAAATCATACATTTTTTTAGGCTTCAGATACACATTTTCATCAACTATGACAGAGTAGTCGCTTATTAATGACATTCACCAAATACAATATAGATCCTTGTATAGACAGTGCATATCAGAGACTAAGATAACCAAAACAATCACAATAACATGGTCACAATAACATGGTAGCTATGTTTTTCAAAATATGGTCATAACAATGAACTTTTTGCCCCCCAAACAAGTCCGTGAGGTTCTTTCCCAACTATCTAACATGATCTGAGATAGGTTGTTGTAGAAGCCTGTAAAACAACAGAAATGGCACCCATTGTACCAGGGTCCTGAGGAAAGTCAAGTTATGTTCCAGTGGTTTGAGAGCTGACTGTGAGTCTAGGTTCATGGGAGGTATTTTATTGCGCCATATCTGTAAACATGTAAATGAAATGCAATGTAATAGAAAGGCAAGTTTCTAGATATTTCATCTTTAGGTATTTATTTTCCCTTACTTGTCTGAAACCTCAAAGCATCTTGATCTTCTGTCAATTGACGGACCAATCCAGACTGACAGGGGTGAGGAACGGCGTCGAGAACTAAAGGAAAGTGCTGGAGGATAATGACTGAGCAGGTGGCCTGTGAACAGCCTGGGGCCGTTAAAATAACCACTGTCTATAGGCTCAGAAACCCCACATTGGTAGAATACTTGTCCTCTTCCCCGTCATCTTCTTTTTCCCTTTCCACCTCACCTCCACTATGAGCCGCTGAGTTCTTCCTCTTCACTTGTTTGCTGGAGGTGCCCCGGGGCCTCTGCATGGGCACCAAAAGGCGGAAGCCTGGCTGGGCATCAGCAGAAGCCGCACCCAAAGAAGTGGTAAAGGTCTTGAACGTGCAAGGCATGAGGGAGGATGAAGAGCATGTAGATGAGGGGCTAACACAGAGGACAGAGGAGTATCCTGAGCTGTGAAGGTCTGTGGAGAAGGAAAGGGGTTCCTGGCCTTGGCAATCCTTGTTCACCTCCCTTTCCGCTTCACAGAAGCTGTCTTCATCACTGGACAGGGCTCTGCAGTGCTCCAGTGTTCTGTCTGCATCAGTCAGCGGTTGCAGTTTGACAGATATCATCGATGCTATTGAAAGACAAGAGATGTTAGAGAGTCAGTGATCAAATTTTATACAAACTACAGGCTGTAACAGTCTGTACAGCTGCTTTCATCCATCCACATTTGTCCATGACAATGCCTGCATAATAATAAGGCCTAAATTTATGTGCGCTTTTACTATGCTGGACATTGCAACTGCCGAGTCATCTCTAATCACATAATGTCCTACTGGAAGACTGATACATGCATTTGATCCATATATGGATTAGCTAATTTATATGCTAGTAGTCATACTGGAAAAAAATGTGGTCAGCCACTCACAATCACCATCTTTCTCTCCCTCGCTCTCTTCCTCCTGGTCTCCCTCATAACCTGAACAGGAAGTGTCCAAGCTCCAATCCAGGATGTCGCCTACCAGTGTCTCCTCCTGATTGGACAGCTCTGCTGTGGGAGTTGCCACAAAGCTGGCTCTGTGGGCCTGCATACTGTCATCACGTCTCCTTGGGAGAAAGTGGACAAGCAGTGGGTGACAGTGAGTCATTGGAGCATCTCACAGATGGCACAAACAAAAACTCCTTCTGGACAACACAGTTCACAAATATGTTTGTCATGGAGCACAGGAGACTGGGCAAGGATAAGAACTGCTAAATGTGCAAGAGTAGCAGTGGGGGGAGGGGTCACTTTGCTGTTAATTAATTGTTTCTCATAACTGAATTCTTTCCATGTCTTTCAAGTCCCGTCTTAAATACTAAGGTTCTATCGATTTTATGCACAGTACATTTTGCAAAGCTGGAAGCTATAGTATATGAATATAATAAATAAAATTTTTTCAACTGGGATATCCTTTTCTGGTCTTACATGCTGCCTAATAGTCAACTGATACAGTTTCCATATCATTTGACCTTTGGTGGTAGGTGCAATAAGCAGTGAATGTCTGCTTGGCCAATTCTTACTGATTTTTTTGTCAAACTGTGTCACAAGCATCTAAGTTAGATTGAATTCTGAAGAGTAATTCAAATGAAAAATAAACATCACAATATTGACCTCCATGGATATAACGCGACTTTATCACACTCACATTATCAAGTGACACAAAAATATGGTTACATTGGTATTACATGGGGTGGACACAAAATATTAACATTTGTAAAATCAAACTCAATCCATGCACATTAACCCCACAATAAATAAATGTTAATATTGCATCCCTCCAACTTGTCCAGGCCCTTATTGCAAAAGAATTAGCAAACTATGGCTAAATTAAAAAATAATGAACATAATGTTTAATACTACACCATATTAGAAAGTAGCAGCTATTCAATGGCCCAAGTAAGCTTGAGAGCTCACAGCGAACTACATAATTAAAAAATAATAATGATGATTAAATATTTAATGGGACCGGTAAAGTTTTTTAGGGGCCAGCAGCTTGTGTTCAATTATGCACAGTGTTCATAGCTCATAGTATAGCTAGTTCTTCACAGCAACATTTGGTTTATGTTTAAAAGCCATTACTGTATTTTTTTTTTTAATACGACCTAGCTCTAATGTGTCGTAATATGGAACCTGTGTAGTAACTGGCTTACCTCTTGTTGGTGCTGGATGGAGAGGCGAGGAAGGTGTGGATGTCTGCTGGTTGTCCAGTGGGGCTGGGAGGCTCCATCTGAGGTTCCACCTCAGGAATCTCCAAGATCTGACACAGTTCTTTAAAATCCATCACCTTGTGGATGCCATGAAATAAAATCAGTGACCAGTTAGATTCACATAACCAATCTGAGACTTTCTGTGCTACAATTTAGAAATGTTTTTTTTTTTTTTTTAAATCAATGTCCACAATGAGAGAAGACCTTTCCTATTACCTGCAATGGAACCAAAAAAAAAAAAAAATCAAGTACCTTTTCTTTACTGATGTTCTGGTAGACGTCATCTTCAAACCGTTGCTTAACTCCAGTCAGAGACACGTGCCTGTAATCTTTGGGAACATCTTGACTGAAACTGAAGAGAGAAAGAGAAGGGAGGGAGTGGGTGCAGGGGTGGGGCAGTGGGGGGGGGGGGGGTTGGGAAGAAAAAATTACTGAGTTTGATCCACTTTGCTTGCTGCATCGCTATAATCACCTCTTGGGGACAAATCTTGTTACTTGTCCATTTGAGAATTACAGTTTGTCAATACGACGCTCACCTATCAAAGTGACTTAACCTGAGGCACGTTTCTGTGAGTCAGTTGGTGATTCACTGATGGTTACACACACAAATGCCTCTTACTGTCTTTTATGACCCTGTAGCTCTCTGGACTTTAAAACCTTAATGGCCATCCATTTTCTTGGTCATCAGACATTATAAACAATCTTATATCTAATATGAGCATGCTGAAAACAGCCAGACACATCAGTCAATTCGTGCCATCTCTTTTCATGGAGGAAAGCACCGTGAAGTACTGTGTGAGCAAAGGTACTTTTTGAGCAAAGGTAGAGTTACAAATCAGTGGAGTCCAATATTTTCAGTGGCATTTTCTGTAGCTTAGAGTAACAATACATTTGTATTGGTTGAATAAATGAAACTAATACTCCGTACTTATTTAAACAAGTCTGAGTATTTGTTTCTGTTCTTATATTGTTTCCACAGTGGACACCACAGATATATGAAATATGTAGCCTTTGGTGAAGGGTTGTGAGTTGACTAAAAACAAAGTATTTAACCAAGTTTACAACATGTGCAGTCATAAGGACGCTTATTCAGTTGTTTTGTTAAATACTTGTAGTTGAAAATCACCCTCCTTTTCCTACTGTGAAAGGAAGAAATTACATATAGGAATCAATACAACTTCCCTTGGCAAAAATGGCTACTAGCTTTTGTGTGGACTGTATGGATGATAATTAGAGCCAACTTTTAATCTTCCAGTGTTTTACAATAATCTCCACTTCAGTACAAATTATACTTCCTCAAAATGCAGCTAATGGACCTTTAATTTACAGAATAAACACAAGTCAATAGGTCATGGTAACACATAATCATCTCATTATAACTGATCTCATCATGGCTGATCACTTCACTTGAAGTGAATCAATGAAAAAGGTTTGAATGCTCTCTCTGTGTAGATCCACGACCTTGACCCTACAGACTGGCTGATGAGGAGGATGGGGAAAATAAATTGCTTGGCTACCAATCCAGTCAAAACACACTGTGAGAAACTTACCACTTGACATAGAGCAGCACAGAAAGGGAGACAAGGTCTTGCTTGGAGAAGCCTGTGTAGTCAGCTAACTGGCTGGGCCATATGGGGGCTGCAGAAAGGGAGACCACAGACATAAGTCAAAGTGAACATAAACTTTCCACTCAACTTAAGGTGAAAATTCTATGTGTTTGAAAAGATTTGTGTTATGTCAATGTTAAAAGGAGGACATGAGGTGTCCTTTCAACGGACGTGTCGTACATCGTACGTGTGTGTGTCAGTGTGTTATTACCATAGTGATGTAGTGCTCGTGTAAGGAGTAGTGCAGCACAGGCCAGTTTGGCAGGTGGTGGCGTAGAGAGAGCAGAGTAGAGCAGTGACAGCTCACAGATGTAACTAAATAGGTGAGTGGTCCGCCTCTCTAGAGGGAGCAGAGATAGTAGCACCTCCCCATAGTCCAGCAGTGTGGGGCTCTAAAAGGGAAGAGCATGAAATTATCATTTCTTCACATTTGCAATGTTCAAATTCAGTGCTTGAATTCCCAAAAAGATTTGGCAGGGAAATATACCTTTAAGCACATACATTCAAGAGAATGGAGGGAAATAAGAGGGAAATTTGCTCTACTCACCCTGATCTTTCCCTCCAGCACAGAGACGACCTCTCCCATCATTCGAACCAGGTCTTCATATTTGTAGGTGTTGTCAGTGAGCCAAACAGCTTCCCGTATGGTCAGGATTTCTTTACTAATATATCTGAAAAAAAAAAGAACAGAACGAAACATTGTCATAAAGCACATATAGAAATCATTTCAATTGGCATCTTTTTCGTTTATTAACTTAGTTATCCGTCCCAAAAGCCTCAACTTCCTCCTGCATCAAAGTTGGTGTCCTTGCATAATCCCTAAATCAGTATTCAACCATATTATGACATGGACATTTCAGAGAATACACATTCTCACCGTGTGCAAACTACCATGCAGGCGATGCCCAATAACTGAAGGCGAGCCTTTGGAACAGAGCGAAGAGACAGGTAGCGGTCCACGCAACCCACTGTCACATGGAGCGTCAGGCTGGAGAAGTCCTTCATGGTGGTCACCTCCACAAGCCAGTCCACCAAGATGTACCTACAGCGGCAGAAAGAGAGGGAGACAAGTTGAAATCAAAGATCAGGTGCATTGAAATTGGTATTTGACAAGATTGTAGTCTAAAAAATGCTGAAAAAATATTTTTGAAGTAATATAAATGTGGTTAATTACACTGAAATAAGAGCCAAAACATTTAAGTCCTCAGCACTCATGTTTAAGTTTATCTAGGGTAAAAGTTAACTGCAACCACCTTGGACAAGCAAGACAGTATCTGATCTTAAAAATCATTCATGCTGGCCAAATCATTACTTGAAATCAGCCTGAAGGCTACGTGGTATGTTCCCTGCTTAACAGAGAAAAGGTTTAATTTTATTCTCTGAGAAACCTGTGACTGGCACACTTTCTCTGTTCTGTTTCATCCCCTCTTTAGTAATGTCATTAAAGAAAGCTAAGATGATCAAAACACAGTGAGTCATCACAATGACTCTAATTACAACATTGAATTGTCTACAAAGATATTATGCACCAACAGACTAATCATGGTAGAGTTTCTGTTCCTGTCTACCTCATGGTGTCCTTGATGCCTCGTCTGAGGATGCCCTGAGAGCAGTGTCGTGATGCCGGGTTAGAGGAATTGAAGAGTTGGGCCACTAAGTCAGAGCAGGCCTTTGCCTCTAAACCCAGTGGATTCCCACTGCTGCACACTTTGGCCAAAGAGAGCTGGGGAAAGAAAAAGACAAACTGTTAAATAAGTGTTTCAAAAAAGCTTAAAATGGTTTGACAGCTTGTTGAATTGAATCACACACACACACAAAATAACAACAATACGGTTGAGTTTTGCATGAGTTGCTGCTGTAATTACAGATCGTGTGACTCAGATGAGTCATATTTTTTGTGATTCTGTGGTGCATCTTGGGCTTTAAAAGTCAATGAGGAGGGGAAAAAAAGGGTGTCAACAACTGTCAAGACCTCTTGGCACTGTCTCATAACGCCTCATTAAGAACAACTTCCAACTGTGGACAAATGGAGGAGTGGGAAATTAAAAAAAAAGAAATGAAACAAACACATGAAAAGCTGTCAAAAGACAAACACTTCTGTCTTTTGTATTATTATAAAATTTGTTTGTGAATAACCAAGGGAGAATAAAGCTGCAGACTGACACAGAGGGCCATCTCAAGACTGAATATGCACAAGAACACATCAAGATGATAATTTGTCTTCAGTCACACACCTGTGCCTCCCAGCATCCTTTACCAGCATAGTCCCTGAGGGTTCGGACACACTGGAGGTACCTGCCTGGATCGGCCATCTGAAATTCAAATACAAAAAAAAGAAAATCTTGTTTGGGCTCATTTGTCAATTGACATTCTCATAAAAGCTTTTTACACATTCAATAAAACATTAATCAATTTTAGTTTCAAATACCATAGACAAATGTGTGTGCGTTTGATTTTGAAATGAGGACAGTGGTCTTCATCATTACAGTCAATGTTTCCAGGAGTATCTCTGAGAAGGACACAAAATGGGAAATTCAGACTCACAGCTGTTTTACGGTTGTGTTCCCACAACAGGTAGGAGCTCTGTAGACAGCCAGCCTTCGAAGACTCTTCCAGCATAGATATGGCATCTGAGCGTCTTTCATCCTCCTGGAAAAAGGTAACAGGATTACAGATGTGAAAGACAGATCTTACACAATAAACTGACAAAATATTTTTTCCCTGCACACTAGGAAAACTGTCATTGTCTCACATTTCCTCATCTATACATAAA